CCACACACACCACACACCAAACACACACACACACACACACACACACCCACACACACACGGCAGTGTGCAATTCCAAGGTGCTGGGGTGCTGGGTGAAGGGTAGATGCACCTGTAACTGTGCTAGATCCTGCCACTGCCTCCATGGGGTGAGGCCACTCTGTGCCTCAGCCTCTCCAGCAGATGATGCTGTTAAACTTTTGGATTTTTGTTAAATTAATGGGGTGGAAATGATCTCTCAGAGTAGCTTTTATGAACGAGTGACTCGGAGCGTCTTTTCCTGTGTTCAGGGGCCACTGGCCTTCTGTTTTCTGTGGATGCCCATCACACCCTTTGCTCATGCTCCGTGTATTCCCGGCCTTGTTCTTACGGGCGCTGGGAGCTCATGACAGGCGGGGCTAAGCCTTCCTTACCCAGACCCACCCTCGGTGTGCAGCAGAAGGTTAAAGTTTCTTCCCTCCTTTTCTTCGGAGGGGGAGACGTTTGGTTGCTTTAGTGCTTACAACCTCTCCGTTTCCCCTCAAGACGAGGGAGCTGAGGCAGGTGCGCAGAGTGATGGGCAGGGGCGCATCGCCCGGGGCAGCCAGAGGCCTGGGGACGGGTCCAGGCGGTCGCTGAGCTCTGAGGTCCAGGGTCTGGGGCTCTGCCGGCCACATGGCAGGCGGACAAAGTCCCCCAACCCCAAGGGGAAGCACTGGTCTTGATGGACAGCTGGAGCGGCCCCTCCTATCCATCCGCGAAGACGCACAAGACCCCAGCCCAGGACCAGGGGTCCCTCAGCTTCCCAGATCCCGCAGAACCCCACTTCCATCTCCCTGGGAGCCAGGGCCAGGCTGCCCATAGGCTGCCCACCACGGAGGATGCGAGCAGGACCGACGCCTCCTGCGGAACCCAAAGCCCGGCTCTGCTCCCGCGGGGCCGCCCCTGCCCTCCCCCAACCCCGCCCGGGGAGTGGAAGCCGGATCCGCTCTTTCGTTTTCGTTTCCTGGAAGGACAGCGATTACCTAGCGCCCCGCGCCTGCTCCCGGACCGAGCGCACACTCCCCGCGCGTCTGAAAGGAGGTTTCCTCCCACGAGGCATTCCGTTCTCCAGCCGAGTTTGGGGTCGGGAAGGGAGCGTCTGGCAGCGCAGCCGGGGCGGCCCGCCTTGGGGAAGGACAGCCCGGGCTCCCACGCCTCCACCTGTGATGCAGGTAAGAGCCTGGCCGCTGAGCACACAGCGCCCACGGAGCCACCTGCCCCATCCCCTCTCCGCCGCCTAATTCCCACACTCATTTTATCAGTCCTTTCCCTGGCTGGAGTCTCACTTTCCAACACATTCCCACCCTCACCACCCATCCTCACCGCCCCTCACCACCCATCCTCCCCGCCCTCACCACCCATCCTCCCCACCCTCACCACCATCCTCCCCGCCCCTCACTCTACCGCCTCACTCACCTCCAGCCCCCACTCCTCTGGGTGCTGCCCCCTCCTCCCTTCTCCTCACCCTACACCAACCAGGTGTGACGTCTCTGGAAGTTTCTGCACAAGCCAGACCCTCACAGCTGACCCACGCAGCCACTGCAGGGCCCCTCTCCCTAGAGCCCCTCTCCGTGTTTGCCATATTTCCCTGGGAGCCTCAGACCCGTGCCCGGGGAGCTGGGCCTCCTCCCACCTCCCCGGCTTTCTCTGCCCCCCTCTCTCCAAGCCCATTTCCATGTCTGAGTCGCACACTCCTCCCTGCCCCTCTTGGAGGCCAGACCTCTCCCTCAGCAGCTCCCGTGGGCCTTCCCCCCAACGGCGGTCACAGGCCTGGGCTTCCGTCCTCTTGCTTGAAAGAGAGTGGAGAAGACGAGGATCTTCCCGGACCAGCCCTAGGCCGCGAGCCCCCTCCCGCCGGGCCAGCCCCCACCGCCTCTGAGGCTGGTTACCTGAGAGGCAGCACCAGCCGGGGCAGGATGCGGGCAGCCAGAAATGGATGGGAACTACCCCGAAGGTGCTGCTGAACCCTCCTCTGCAGCGACCAAGGCCTGCAGTTCGCTCTGCTGGCTCAGGTCCACAGTCTCTTACTGCAGATCGCCCTCCGCAGACACCAAAGATGACTGTGCGGCTCCCGAGGGCCTAGCGTGAGAAGTGACTCGGTTTCACTTTCACTTTTTGTGACTGGGCACGGGCCCCAAGGAGCCTCCTGTTTCTACAGAGCCCTGCCGCTTTCCACCCCCTCACCCCGAGGAGAGAGCCACACCTCCCTGGGGCCCAGGCTGATGGAAAACTGTAAAGATACAGATGCCCCTGCTGGGACTTCGGGGTTCAGAAATGTAGCCTGTCTTTTTCTCTGTTGGAAATAGGATGTCATTGTTTATTTCTGAGTTAAGGCCTCTTTATCCTGGCCCCTCAGGTTCCCACTGAGCATTATTAGGCCTTCAGATTCCCAGCTCACAAGTCAGGACCAGGGCGGCCTTCTGGTGGGTCGGGCACAGGCACGGAAAGCTGCTGGGGAAGATGAATGTCTTAAGCGTCCGCTGTGTGCAAGATGTTCAGGGCATCACGTGAGGACACACATGGTCCCACCTCCATGGAGATGGGTGCTCCTTCCCTTTGGAAAATTCTTAATGCCTTTCGGGATGCTGAGCCTACACCAGGCGCTCACCGCGGACTGCCTGGGTGTCTCCTCTCTAGGAGGGAGCACTGGCCGGCTCTCCCGTGAGCCCCGCGGCAGCCACGCCACCTCCAGGCGCCCGGGCCCAGGCCGGATGTGACGCCCACGTGGACCTGCAGGGCAAGCGGGGCATCTGCAAGCTGCCAGGAAGACTCCGTGAGTAGAGGGGAGGGGAGAGGGTCGTGTTTGCCAAGGACACACGTGCAAGGCATGGACTTTCCTTATTTAAGGGTTTGATGTCCCCGCCTTTGCGGTTTCTTTGCTGGGCTTCTTTATTCCGTGGCGAGGAAGACAGAGGAGGAAAATGTGAATTCTCCCTGCAGGGAACACAGCTGACGTGACCGAGCTTGGGGGCGCCAGTCTCCTCACTGGGAAGGTGAGGGTTGGGGTCCGATGAGCGGTTGGTTCCCTTGCAGCCTGAAGACCAAGAGTTGGGGACGTTGCCAGTGAGGGAGCCACAGGGCTAAACAGTGAACAGCTGTACGTATATAGGATCCTGCTCTAAATAATCGCGTTTACTTTTTATTGTTTCAAAAGTAGCATCTGCTTAGTATCAGAAATTGGGAACTGAGCAAGAAGCATAAGAAGAATATATATGGGACAGTCACATCCACCCCGAAATACACGGGAAATGCACTGGGCACGGCCTTTCATTCCATCCTCTGAGCGCTGCTCCTGCTGAGGAGACTCAGAGCCTCGGAGCAGGCTGTGGACTAGCATTACTCTGAGTGGCCAGATTACTATGACCACCCATCAGTACTCCACTGACACTTCCCGAAATACTGAATATTGAGAACTTCCTAAGCAAATACTCTCAAGGTTTTATTATTAGTAGTATTTGCATAACGAATTCACTTCATTGTACTGATGGGGTGGTCATAATAACCTAGCCACGGAGTGTATTTACGCTGTATTTCCCATCGCAGAGCCGAGAGGGGGAAAAGCTAAGCACATGTTGAGGCTCACACCGCTCTCCATGTCAAGGCGAACGCTTGCTCCTGATGATAATCCCCCAAGAGATGTTTAAATGCACGCCCTAAGCTGTGGAAATCACGGAGAGGCGGCTGGCGGGGGCGTGCGGGCTCTTTGATGGGGCGGGGCCTGGGCAGCTGTGGGGAGGCACGTCTGACCACGTCCTGCTCGGCTGCTCGGCGGGGCCCGGGCTGGAACACTGTGGGCTCCACACCCTCTGACATCCTGGCCATGGAATGCTTTCTAGGCACTGACAGGGCTGAGCGGGATGTGGGGGAGGACTTCACCCAGCTGCCCCCCAAGGCCTCTGCCTCTGCTGCCTGGCATGAGTGATGGGGACAGAGCCTGTCTTCCCAGGTGAGGGGCAGGTGGGCCCGAGGCCTGGGCGCGGGTGAGGGGCAGGTGGGCCCGAGGCCTGGGTGCGGGTGGGGGCAGGTGGGACTGAGGCCTGGGTGCGGGTGAGGGCAGGTGGGACCGAGGCCTGGGCGTGGGTGAGGGGCAGGTGGGCCCGAGGCCTGGGTGCGGGTGGGGGCAGGTGGGACTGAGGCCTGGGTGCGGGTGAGGGGCAGGTGGGACCGAGGCCTGTGGCATCGGCAGGAGAGGAGCCCCGGGCGTGGAGGAGGCTCTGGTGCCTGGAGCGGCTGTGGAGGTGGAGGGATGTGGCGCTGTTTGGGGAGAAGGGGGGTGGGGCTCTGTGAGGAACCTCCTTGTTTCATTTTGTCCAGACGCCAACCCTGACCGGTAGCTTGGGCTCAGGGCTGCTCCAGGGGGATGGATCCCTCGCCCCCCGCCGCCCCCTGACACAGGCTGAGTCAGGTGCAGAGTAGAGGCGCGAGCCGAGCGCCGTGGCCGGGGCACACACGGCACCTTCTGTATTTCTCACCGTAGATTCCGTGACTCATAAAAATATCAGACAGCACAGTCTGGCCCTTAGTAAGTACCTAACAGTCTTCAAAGACAGCGGACACGCAATGACTCATTTTCCTGTCAACAGCATCCCAAGGAAGCAAACCGCTGACACCTAATGAGGGTTTGACTTTTCAGACGCGGGGGTGATGTCAGCCCGATTCCTGCATTTCTGGAAATTGGGTTTCTATCGCCGGGCATCTCTCTGCCATTCATTCCCAGTCACCAGCCCTCCCCCCTCCCCTCCGCTTCCACTGCAATCAGCAGGGCTGATTAGCCTCGGCAGGAAGGCGAACAAACAGCACAAACCTGGCTGAGCCGTGTGAGTCAGCACAGAGCACATGGGCCTGGCCCCGCACGGCTCACTGCGGTCACCTGCCCGACCAGACGTGCGGAGAGCAGTGGGCAGTCCCTCCGGGGACCACAGACATCCTGACAGGACACGGCTGGGCGGAGGGATGCGGCTCACAGGCTCCGGAGTGACCTCAGCTCACAAAGGACACTCACGACTGTGTGTCCCTCTGACCTGGGGAGAGAGGGGTGTCCCCTGTCAGGTCAGCCCGAGGCCGGGGTCAGGGGCAGCGAGGGCGGTGCCAGCCCTGTGACCACTCGCAGGCCCGGGCTGAGGTCACGGGAGCGAGTCTGGGAGGAAGTGATGCCACCTCCAGGGACGGCTCGGGGACTTGGAGAGCCGGCGGTTTTGATGTGATCAGCAGCACAGCCTCCTGGTTGTGGCTCGGCCCCAGGAAGAGGCAGAGCGCCGCTCCGCTGGTCAGTGCCGCAGGCAGAGGGTGGCATCTCTGCAGCTCCCTGGCCGGGAACGAGGGACGGGCCCCCGGGCCCCAGCAGTCCTCACGCCCCTGCTCAAGCGGCCATCCTCTGCTTACAGGAGGGTCTGGGCACTTGTGTTGATAGACGCGGCCCTAACACGGGCTCCCCGTCCCAGAGCGGGGCTTTCACTCTTTAATGTGCTTGCGAATCCCCTGGGCTCGGTGGGTCTCAGCCGGGGCCTGGCTCCTGCATCTCGAATAAACTCCCCGTGCTGCCGGCGCCGTTGCAGGACGTGCATCCGAGGACCTTGTCACGCAGCTCAGTCCTAACAGTGCGTTTCAGAGCGCTGGCCAAGGCTCACCGAGGAGGTGAAAGGGGTGCTGTGGGGAGAGAGCTGGTTGGGGGGGCTGGGGGGCTGGGAGGGGGTGGTCAGGGTGACCAGAGGCCTTTTGGCCCTCCCTTATTTGCTCAGCTCCCTCATTTCCATGTTTATGGAGCACCTACTCTGTGGCAGGCATTGCTCTTGGTGCTGGAGAGACAGAGATGGCTGAGACTGACAAAGTCTGTGCCTCACGGAGCTGAGGTCCTAGTCGGGGTGCAGCGACTCCATGAGGAAAAACTAAGCTGTGTAAGGGCAGTGAGGGCCATACAGCTGCGGGGGGCGCGGGGAGCCCCTATGTCCAGCCCTGTGTGCAGGTGGGGAGGGAGTGTTGACTCTTCAGGGAGACACCGAGCCCTCCCACCATGTGCTGGACAGGCAGCTCCTCCAGGGGCCCAGCCAGCTGGGTCTCTGTTCAGATCTGTCCGGGAACCGGGAGCTGGCCACGCTGGGAATTCCCAGTGAGCAAGGCTTGGGGCAGGGAGGGTAAGGGGATACCTGCTGGAGTCTCGAGAGACAAAGATGGCCAGAGGGAAGGAACGGAAAACAGTGGGTCACTGCGAGAAAGGGAGGGAGAAGCCGAGGGAGGGAGAAGCCGTGGCTGGTCTGCAGGTGGGGCCCCAGGGGTGGGGGGTGGACTGGGAGGGAGACCCGTTAGGCCCATCCAGCTACTAGGTCAGGGGGCTGCTGGGGAAGTCGGCAGCTGAGATACTGCACCAGCACCTGCCAAGCATTTCACACGTGTGACCTCGTCTAACACTGAGAGCTGCGCTGTCTGGAAGGCCCGCGCCACATGCCCGATGCTGGCCTGTAAGTGGCTTCTCTCGGCGTCCTCCCGACAGTCCTGCGTGGCTCTGCCATTTGTTCTTGCTTTGGTTGCCGAAGGCCGGTCCAGATGAGGAAACAGAGACACAGTCATTTAGGTCCCATCGTTGACAGCTGGCCTGGCACCACATCGGTACTTGTTGTTTTCACTTTTACTTTTTTTAGGTGTAGTTTACATGCAGTCACGTGTGCTAATCGCAGTGTGCATGCGTATTTATGTACGTAAACACCGCGTAGCCACCATGTGCATTCAGCTCTAGACCGTTTCTGGGGCCCCCGAAGGTTCCCTGTGCCTCCTCCCAGGCACTGCCCCCCAGAGGGTGAGCACCCTGGTTTCCCTCCCTGGAGGAGCTCTGTCTATTCTTGCTCAGTTTTGCGTCTGGCTCCCTTCCCAGCGTAGCATCTGTAAGCTTCACCCACGTGTCGTGAGCAGCTCTCGGTTGTACTTTCTGGCTCCTTACCGAGCAGCGTTTGTTGCAGGACAATATCCCAGTCTGATCGTCCCTCCTCTGGCTGGTGGGATGTGGGATGCGGGATGTTCCTGTCTATTGTGCAGGAGCCTCGGTGGACATTTGCGTGCGTGTCTTTCAGTGGATGCGGTCACCGTGTCTCTTGGGTCTTTACTTAGGAGTGGAAAATGCTGGGCTCCTAACCTCTGCACCACCCGGCAGCCGGGAGAGGCAGTGCCTTATCCCACTCCACAGAGGGGGAGGCTGGGGCTGAGAGAGGTGAGCGCTGACTTGGCTAGTAAGGGGCTGAGCTGGAACCCAAGCCCTGAGTTTGAGGATTTGGCCCCAAGGTCGGTGGCTGACCCACTGCTTGGAACCTGGTCCTTTCCCAGGCGCCGGTCCTATTCGAAAGCCTTTGGCCTTAGTGATCTTTGAAAACATGGGGAACAAGAAGGCCCCTCTTCTTAAAAAAAAAAATTTTTTTTTTAATTGATTTCAGAGAGGAAGGGAGAGGGAGAGAGAGATGAAACTTCAATGATGAGAGAGAATCATAAATCGGCTGCTTCCTGCACGCCCCACACTGGGGATTCAGCCCGCAACCCGGGCCTGTGCCCTGACCGGGAATCAAACCGTGACCTCCTGGTTCATAGGTCCACGCTCAGCCACTGAGCCACGCCCGCCAGGCAGGTTCCTCTTCTTGATCACAGGGCCGGAGGTGCTGGTGGCAACGGGATGAAAGGCGAGGGTGGGCGTGAGCACGACACAATGAAAGCAAAACCAGATCACACTCCGGTCGGTGACAGGCTCCAGGTCTCAGGAGCTGCTGCGGGCCGTGTGTGACCGCAGGGTCCCGGGAGACAGCTTGGGCGGTCTGCTGCCCGGCTCTGTGGACCGGGGCAGGACCGTGTGTGTGGCTGAGAATGTCTGCAAGTTCAGGTGTCCCCTCTCACTGTGGTTGTAGTTTTTTCATGGAGGCTGAACAGCGGGGGGTGGGGTGAGGAAGGTGGGGGAGGCGTGGAATCCATCCTCATGCTCTGGCCAAACACAGGAAAACGGGCCCCTCTGACTCAGGCATCATAGTTTCGAATTTTCAGACTGACAGCCTCAAACATCATGAACTAGGCGACGCTGCAAACAATGCAATTGCCAGTTGGCTCCGGAGCCCGGCGGTCCTGAGCGGCTGGGTGGCTCCACCGGACACCTCCTGCGTGCCGCCACCTCGGCCCGAGTCTCACCCACCAGCTTCTTGTGTCGCACGCTGTCCCCCAGGCTGAGCCCCAAGAGGCTCTCCATGCCCGTTCCCACCAGCGAGGCTCTTGCTCCGTGTACTCCTGCCAGGGGTAGGTGTCCTTAAAACGGCCTCTCGTCCTTCTTCGGTGGCGCCCGGCCCTGACATCTAGTGGGTGGAGGCCAGGGAGCTGCTAACCTTCTGCAAGCTCTGGACAGGCCCGCAGCGGGAATTCTCAGGCCCCGAGTGTCGATAGTGCTAAGCAGTCTTGCTCCCCTGTGAACCGAGCTAAGATGTTTTGGCTTAAAAAAAAATTTAGAGACGCTCTTGACCTAGGATGGGCATTAGCCTTTTATCTGTGTTTTGCAAGTATTTCCCGAAATCTGCCCTCTGTTAGCGTGGTTTCTCTTTGCCACACAGACAATAATGGTGTAGTCAAATGCGTCTTTCACTTTGATGACAGCCTCTGGGTTTCCTGTCGTAGTTGAGGGCTCCCTGCCCTTGTTTGGTGCATATGGTTTCGTGTTTCTGCTTCTCTTGAGGTTTCCATTAGGCCTTATCGTCGGGAATTGATTTTTGTGAACAGTGGGGGGAGGGTCCAAGTATATTTTCCACACGGAGAGGCAGTTGCGGCTTCAGCATTTCTTAAATGGACTATCCCTTCCCACCCAATGAAAACCCGCCTCTGTCCTATCTTACTTTGCACACGCACACGCCCCCCGGCTCCCTCTTCCTTTCCGATGATTCTTGTCAGTCTAGTTCAGTTCCATCACATCTTGATTACATGACTTTGTGGTATGTGTGCCAAAGGTCACTTGTCACCTCTATTCTTTTTTTTCTCCCTTAAATAACTTTTGGTTCACTTCAGACATTTATTCTTCCTTGTTACTCACTCTTAGTTCCCAAAATAAGGAAAGGAAAGCCTCTCTGTCCTTCCGTCCGTCCGTCCGTCCGTCCGTCCGTTCGTCCCCACTGGGCCGCGTTGCCGCCGACTGGGATTGTTATTAGACAGTCACTGCTTGTGGAGTCCCCCTCCTGCCAGCCTCGCGCTGTGCCCTGCCCCCAGCAGTGCTTGTTTGATGTTGGCTGAATGAATGAACGAGTAGATGATGCACATTCTTCTTTTTCTTTTTTAAATATATTTTATTGATTTTTTACAGAGAGGAAGGGAGAGAGATAGAGAGTTAGAAACATCGATGAGAGAGAAACATCGATCAGCTGCCTCCTGCACACCCCCTGCTGGGGATGTGCCCGCAACCAAGGTACATGCCCTTGACCAGAATCGAACCTGGGACCCTTCAGTCTGCAGGCCGACACTCTATCCACTGAGCCAAACCAGTCAGGGCCTTTTTTTTCTTTTTAACATGAAAACTTTTATCTCTTCTGTTGTTTTGGGAGCAGGCAGTCAGAGGCTGGCTCCGTCTTTGTCACTGCCGGGGCGGGGGGTTGGGGGGCGGGGGGCTGGGGGGTGGCTTTGGACAGTTTTTTTCTCCGCTGCCTCCACTCTCTTACCGTCACACTGGACCCGGTGAGCCCTGAGCTCCTCCCACCCTCATGGCCGGGGGTGCTAGAGGGACGAAGGGCAAAACACCAGGCGGACTCATCACGGGCACAGTGCCGGGCCCAGCGCTTTCGGGGGCCCATGAAAATATGCCAATTCCTTTTGAAATCAGAAGAAAAAAGCTTTTAGGTAGAAGAAAATGTTTTAATATACAACAGCATACTCACCTGATGCCGATGCAGCCATAAAACGTAATAACAATTTTTAGTGGAGGAAGGGGCCTGGGAGAGCCGTGCTGTGCTGTGGGCCTGCTGAGCAGCCCGGTCAGGGGGGCAGTGTCGCCTCGGGCAGCCTGGCCAAGGCAGGGCAGAGCGCGGGCGATACGAGGGCAGCGCTTGCTGGGGGCTGCCAGGGAGGAGACACCGAGCTGAAGGTGGGGGAGACGCCTCTGCGCCCCGGCTGTTCCCTGAGCAAACCCAGGTCTGAGCTGTCTCCACGGAGTGGATGAGAACAGCAGCCACACAGACCTGGTTCTGCCCGGCTGGACCTCATGCTACTGTGGAACCTAACCTCTGGGAGCCTCGGTTCCCTTATTTGGAAAACAGAAATACTGACACCTCCTCTGTGGGACTGGTTGGTTGTTCATGCCATCATCCAGTATGTGTTTCCCGAGCACCTACTGTATTCAGGCCCTGTCCCGGAATACAGGCCGCGTGCACACAGGGCCTGGCACGGAGCAGTTCCTCATTACACATTTGTTGAATGAATAATTGGAACACAGGCTGGGGTGGCGGGTTGGGGGTACCACAAATAAATAAGTGAATACATAAAAAGTACATAGATGATGACAAACATATAATCGTATCAAATGTAAAGTGCAATTCCAAAGAAGGTAAGGTGCCAGGAAGGGGGAAGAACAGGACACAATGACAGAGACAATGACTGGGTGTGGGAGCAGGACACCTGCTCAGAGAAGTGTTCAGGGTGGGCTTCTCGGAGGAGGTGGCATTTAAGCGAGGGCCCGCCCCCAGCCCACGTCCTGTGTTGCAGGGATCCAGCCCGCGCTCTGGAGCCGCGAGGACGTGCTGCACTGGCTGCGCTGGGCCGAGGGCGAGTACTCCCTGCAGCGCACCCGGGAGCGCGGCTTCGAGATGAACGGCCGCGCGCTCTGCATCCTCACCAAGGACGACTTCCGGCTCCGCGCACCCGGCTCAGGTCTGGAAACTCTCTGGCTTTCTCTAACCCCCTGGAAGCCCACGGAGGCCCGGGCGGGAGGTGGAGGGGCGTTGGTTGGAAGGTCATGCTCACTCCCAGCACGGAGGCCGCCCGCCCCTCTTTCCATAAATGTTTGCCAGGCGGCTCCCAGCCCAGGCTGGCCTGCAGCGAAGGACTCCATTTGGCGGTTGATTTCAGAGCCGCAGGCAGGCGTCTGTCCTGCCGAGCACTGACCCCTCCCATCTGTGGCCCCGTCTCCCCTACCATCTCCATCAGCACGCAGCCTGTGCGGGACATGCCCCCACGAGGCCGGTGGCTGCAGGGGATGAGGCAGCGTCCATGCAGCCTGGTCAGCAGCCCCTCCCGCCCCCCAGGTGACGTCCTGTACGAGCTGCTCCAGTACATCAAGACCCAGCGGCAAGCCCTGGTGTGCGGCCCTTTCTTCGGCAGGGCCTTCAGGCAGAAGATGCCCCGTGGGCACTGCCCCTGCCCCCTGCAAGGTGAGGCGCTCTCCTCGTTGCTGGGCTTCCTCGCAGGCAAGAGGCTGTTTGCACCGTGTCTCTGTTTCTTTCCCTCCTGATCTCTCCATGAAAACGGGTTCTTGTCGGTCTCCAGGGCCCTGAACTTAGGGATGACCACACCCACTCCCTGTGACTCTGGCAGCCTCCCCACTCTCCCACATCTACGTTCAACTGGGGCGCGACCCTTGGGGTCGCGACCCTTTGGGGTCGAACGACCTTCATAGGGGTCGCTAAGACATCGGA